TTGCTGGACCTGTCCAACATCAGGTAGACTCTATACTCCACTTAATGACTGGTTTATGTGGAAGATACACACCCTTGGATGGGTGGTTTTCAACGGTCAGCTTTTATTTCAGGGGATACCGGAGGCTCAAAGTTATATTTTGCAATTTTTTTGTGTGTGATATAATGAACAAAGTTTTTTTATAGATTTGTAAAAGTATGATTTTTTTTTGAAATTTGAAAAAAGAATGAAATGACCCAATGGCTTGATGGCGCGGTTGTTGTTGTTGTCTGTGGGCTATTGGCTGGCAAAAATTCATGACAAAGTTTGAAATCTTTGGAATCTATTGGAACCGTGATGCTATCAAAAAAAATAAGGAAGATTATTGGCTTTTTATCAACAATGTGGAGAAAGCTGGCCAAATCCTTTGGGATTTTTTTTATCCACTTGGAGATGTTGCCCTCAAAAAGAATCAAGACTTTATGATCAAACATAATATCCCTGGGTTCTACAAGCCAGAGCTTCCTGATGAAATTTAACCCATTCAAATTTGTTTTCTCCTCAAACTTGACCTTCACATCAAATTGATTTTTCAATCATCCACACAAAGACACAAAAAATCATGCCTCCCTGCCGTTTTCGCTTTCCCTTTCCCTGCCAATCTCAAAGGAAACCGGCCTCCTTTTGTGTGGAGCCAAGGAATACAACGTAACCAACAGTCCTTTATTTTCCCTGACTGTCGATTTGGTATCAAGTTTTGACCCAATACTATGTGTCAAATGATTTTCAGCCAGCGCGGATACTCTCATTGCACTCTGCCTCCAACAGAACCCACCTCATTCATGAGATTGGGTGTGTCTTTACAAATCTCTGCAAAAATGGTGAACATAGGTGAACATATCTGACCAGATAGCTGGAGCCAAATATGAAAACAGAAAAGATATGCACATTGCAGGGGCTAAACATAGCTTGCACATGTCAAATAATGAACTAAAAAAGCCAATTTAATCCTCATTGCTTTCTACTTGAATATACATCTCCCTTTCATATATATATAGCTGCACAATTGTTAGTCTTTCAGAACAGATGCAGTTTTCAACTGGCTGTCATACACCTTTTCTTTAGTGTGTAAAGGGGCCCTTACAGAGTCCTATGGGTTAAGCTTCGAAGAGAAGTGTTTGAACACTAAAATTTTGTAGATAGTGAATGATGTTTGTTTTTATCAAAAGTTCTGTATCGTATTCGATGAGGAATGATACCTCATGGGAAAGCTGCTTTTATGTCTATGTACAAAAGGACTGTGCGTACATAGAATAGCAGAAACAATCGAGAATACAGTGAAATACAATAATGACATCACAAACATACACTTTGGGAATTAATACTATTGATTTAGTATTAGTACATATTATGAATATACAGAGAGAGGCATTTGAGGGACTGTAGTCGTAAGTCCTGTTATCTCCTGCCACGGAGTATAGGCGCACGGCTACAAGTAATCCCACACACAAGTTTGTGAGCTATGACACTTTATTTTATTACTATTGGTGCCTCTGACTCATCCATACATGACAGGCCTGGATTCAAATCTGAAGTTGAGTAAATGTATGAGATGTTCCAATTAGGTAATCTTCCAAAGGTACCTGAGTTCAGCCATGAGATTATGAAAAGGGAAAATTCCAAGCGGGAGGGAAAACTCATGAAGAGAAGGTGGACTTCATTAGGGAACAGTATCTAAAAGTTTGCAAGTGGCTCAATTGAGGCCCTTCTCTTTCCATTGCAACAACCTCAACTGAAAGATAATCCTGATGGTCTTCCCAGAACTACCAATACCCAGGAAAGTATGCACCGGAACTACTACAGGCTCAGGTAAGATTAAATGCCTCTTTGCACTATCCGAAGACCTTTAAATGAACCTCATTTATTGGCTGTAATTTAGCAAGAGAAAACAGTGCATTATGGTTGGAATGGTGGACCTGTTCACAAAGAAAACTGGAAAGCTGCAATGAAGGAGATCCCATGTCCTATGGAGCCAATACCACCACCAACATTGGAACCACCCTTGGGATTGCAAAGAAACACAAACGTGGCCATGAAAAGGTCATCAATAATGGAAGGCCACCAGACACAACAGACAAACTTGTTGATGAAAAGAAAAAGAAAAAAAATTCAAGCTTGGGAGACCGCCAAAGGCAACAAACTTCAACAAAAGCCTCTGGTCAGCTTATCCATCCTACCAAACAAATAAGGACAACACAGCTTGAAGAAACCACTGCTGGCTTGCTGCAGGTCTTGAATCTCTTTACGCAATTTTCAGCCCATTATGGCTCTCTGGAATCAGTGGTCATGGGAAGGATGTCTTTACTTCAATTGCTCATTACTTCTCATGTTGATCAACTGGGAAACTTAATGGCAGCAAAGCATCTTTATCAACTGGGAAACTTAATGGCAGCAACACAATTTGATCAACATGACATTTGATGTACTCAGTCCTAAATATCCAGGACATTCCCTTCCTGGCGCATTTTCTTCTTGCAATTGCTTCCTTGAGGTTACATTGGATCCCAAACTTCACAAGAAGATTGAGTATAAGCAGCTCTTCTCCATCAATGAACAAACTACACTCTCACACCATCATAGTACATAAGTATACACACCACTTCACTATCTTCTGACATGTTGACACATGCAGTGTTGGTCTGGAACCACTCAGGATTTACAAATGACATCATGCAGGTTGTCATGTCATTTGTTGTTCTTCCTTGCAGCTGTCACACTATCCCACACCACTCATGTAATCTTCATCACCCCATCTTAGTTTGCAGACTAGTGTATGACCTCATGTAGCATGCTACACCAGCATAAAACCCTCATGTAGACTCCTAGTTCAAGCTAAAATGACTCTTGTGACATCATGTAGGTTGCTCAACCAGCCAAAAGACCTCATGTACATGTTCTGGCTAGCTAAATTCCCTCATTGTAATGCTCTGGCCAGCTTAAATCTCTCATTCTCTTGCTCCCTTGAAGCCAAGATCCTTCAGTGTTGCATTGTTGTCTATTGAAGGAGGCTCTCCTCCCAGTTGTTTTCCCCCTCAGTTTAGTACCCACATGTCACATACCCCCTACCATTAACATTACATACTGTGACAACCCTTATAACACCTTATAACAACCCTTACACTTGTAATACACACTCTAAACTCATTCTCATACTCTCAAAACCTCTTCTCTCACACAATTAAATTGTGATCAAACAACTTATTCTCAAACCAACCACCCCTATCACTTGATCAAAACTTGCAAACCAACCACCACTATCACTTGATCAAAACTTGCCAAGCTGAGCTTGGTGGGTCTTGTTATCTGAGAGTACAGAAGGGCAGAGCTTGCAACTCCACCATACCCTTTAACATTCAGCAAAAGGGTTCTCACAACCACTTTTGAGTCTTACACCGTATCCCTGATTGTCACCAAATTCAACCGCTGCAAGTCATGCACAATTCTTACGCTTGTCTTTATCCTGCTTCAACACCACAAAGATTGGGCTCGAGTAACTGGAATTTGTCTGCTCGTACAATCTGGTCTGCACTCTCTCCTTTATCAACTCCATAAAGGCGCCTTGGATGGCGCTGGAATTGGAACTGGCCAAATCTTCCAAGGCTCATGCGGGATCGTTGGAATCTTGCAAGGCTGGGCGATTTTTCGCTTCAACAAGCCCCGCTCTTCTGATCCAAAAGCAAGCACCTTCTCCCGCAGCTTCACCACATCAGCCAACAGATAAAATTCCTCCTTCCTTAGCCACCCATCCGGTGTGGTCACTGCCAACATATAATCATTGGATGTGTGCATCCCAATTAATCTGGGATGCCCACAACCAATTTAACATTGGCTGCGCACACCCGATGCAGTCCGCATCCGAGCTAAACTCGGGTAGTTGCAACCTGAGGGTTTAAACAACCAATTTAAACTCGGCTGTGGCTCAGCCGAGGTAAAATCGGGAGGCCTGCCAAACAATGAATCTAATGTTTCGGCTGGTAGGTAGCCAAGGTAACCTTGGCCACCACGCACCAATTGATGAAAGCTTGGTTGACAGCTCAACCAAGCCTTCATATGATTGGTTATTGACAACCAATTGAACAGGCCCAGATTGATGAACCCAAATGGGATATTCCCAAAGCCAACCAAGACAGCCACCAACAGAGAGAGCCCACAGGTTTTATCCAAGAGCATACCCACCAGCTTTTTCTCTTTCCAGAGCGTATTAATCTTGATGTACGGCTGGGTATTCAAGAAGTGAGGATTAGAGTCAGATATGAATGAAAATTCAGGCTCAATTTTCCCAAAGAAAGTTAAATGGTTTACTCACATGTTTTTGCACAAAGTTCAAACCAACAAAGCTTCCATGCTCTAGAGCTTGGATACAGGCGGTGATACAACAAAGAAACATGTGTTGGGAATGCCAGTTTAAAGGGGAAAATGATCAAGGAGGGACTAACAATGAACTGGGGATCCAGAAAACTGATCTTTGCAAGGGAATCAGCTATGAGCAACAATTGTACAGGGACGTTTCCGCAAGACCCAAGCCAGCCGGTGATCTGCGTTGGACCAGGCACGGGGACCGCTCCCTTCTGAGCACTCATTCAAGATCAATTGACCCATCACGTTTCTGACGTATCATCTCAACCTAACGCGCTGGCCTTCTTTGGCTGTCAAGCCAAAAATTCTGACTTCTATGATTGCAAGCAAAAGTGATCAAGGAGGAAGGTGGCAATAACAACGACTTGATTGAGCGCATCCAAAACGACCCTTTCTTCAAACCCATTCATTCCAAATTGGACCAACTCTTGGACCCCAAAACATTTGTTGGTTGCGCTCCTGAACAAGTTGATCATTTCATTAAAAGTCAGCTTCAAACCTCTCGTTCACATATTTTTTGATCATTATTGACGAAATTTGTTCTCCTACTCCTACACAGATTGGGTAACGCCAGTGCTCGCCCCATACCAAGAATATATTCATGCTTCCCAACACACAGTGCTACATGTTTAGGCACCAATTTCCTCGTGAACATCAACTCAAAAAGAACACATATTTTTGTGGATCTCAACATATCTTGATTCTTCCCCCAATTGCAATTAACCTTGGATCTTGTGGGCCCGCTTGGGTCAATTTCACTTCATCATCTGTCCAAAGCTTCTCAGATTCCAACAAAACTTTCTTCAGCCTGTGCTCTTATGACCAGTTTAAGATCTTGAGGTTCGGTCCACAACAGAAGTCTCTATGATCTGATCAATTTCCAGATCTTGTTCTCAAAGGAATCTTTCTCATTACAGCTGATGATTTGTTATTGCATTGTACATACGCACTGGTGACAAGTTCTCCATTATCTTAGTACATCCTTTTCTTCTCTCGCTCCCCCTGGTGGACCGCCCAGAGTAATGAGGGTTTTGGGGTTTGTTTGTGTGATTATAGGGGTTTTTTTTTTCTATCATCAAAATGAAATGAGAGATCCAGATACAGATAAAACTCAAGCAATACATCTTTTGAAATGTTTTGGTATGAATAACACTTATTATGGAGATAGGTATGGTTTAAGAAAACACTAGGTAGCTTATTTGGTTTATCAAAATGATATTATGCATCACTTTTTTTCAGCACCCAGTGCAAGTTTGCCATCCTTTTAAAAAGCATATGGCTCCAGCTGACAGATAAATTTGTTTTTGAACCCCAAATTGGCTCCATTAGGGGGTATCAAATATAGGAAATCCACCATCAGAAACCAGTCACTTTTCCAAAAACTTTTTCTTGAATAAATGGGCCCCAAAAGGGGTTAAATGGATTACCAACATGTTTAAAAAAGGGTGGATTTTTCCAAACCAGTCAATTAAATAATGGTGGATTTGGTTGTATTTGATACCCCCTATTGTGGAGAGTGCCACAGTAGGTTGGCCCAAATGGGTGTATGATTTGGCAAGACTGAGGTGAAGTTCAGCAAGAAGGTTCTTGAGAGGTGTGTTCAGGTCTTTGTTATCAATGGGAAGGAATGTGAGGCTTTTAGAAATGATTTCAACAACCTCTTTGTGGTTTCCGTTGCAATTCATCACTTGACTACGTCGCTGTACACTGTTCAGACTACGCTCAAGTCTCAAGATTTCAGGTGCCTGGAAATTTGATAACAAATTCAATGAGATGTCACATAGGTGAGCAAACCCATCAAACTTCAGTCAATCATACTGAAGTATGGACTTGCCCTATTGGGATCCTTTGCCTCGGCTGATCTGGCTTTTATTTTTGAATGAAGACAAGCGAGTTCATTAAAAAGCAAGTGGCTCCAGCCGAAAGCAGTCCCTCTTCTTGGGTCGGATAGCTCTTGTAAGGTAATTTCAGCCTTGTCAAATTGACTCAAAGCAAGGTAGCATCGCGTTAATTTGAAAATGGATTGAATTATCACAAGGTTGCCACCCTCCTTGATGGAAGTTCTCTACCAAGAGCGGCGTCTCAGGAATGTTTCGTACTTGTTTGCAGCATTGGAATAGTCCCCGATTGTATAATAATGGTACACCATTGCCGGTTTCTGTGTCAGGTAATTGCTTGATTCGAAATCCGTTTTGATTTGGTATTTCTGTTTTACTCATTGTCATAATAAACAATACGTAAAATTCCCGTGAGCAATAACATTGCTTCACTTACCATAGATGCTAATCTGCGAGATTTTCTGGGTGGGTGCAAAAGCTCCATTTGTAACTCACCGCCTCATCACGTTACACTCACCCGAGCCCCAGAAAATCTTGACGATTCCTTTGAAGAACTTTATACAACAATCTTCAATGGGCACTTCAACTCACACCCTTCCCATTCAGACCAAGAATCGTGGATTGACCTTTGGAGTGGCCAATTCCAAATTGCCCATATCAAATTCCTCTCAATTTCTCATATGCTTATAATGTGACTTAAATTTTGCAGCCCTTTTGGGCTCAATGGTTTTTTTTGCTTCTTGTGCTACTCTATTCATTGTGATGCTTTCATTTTTTGATTTAGCATTTTAACTGTTTGGATCTGTTAACCATGAGTCTGCTCCAAGTTTCTTTCAAACATTAATGAATTAAAGGATTTGGAAAATCAGAATGCACTCTAGTTCTATTTTCATTCAAAGGGGTTCATCAATCAAACTTTACAAAACAAAACACTTCAATCTCCGCTCTGGTTGAGAATACTATGTTTAATAGAGTTAAACGATACTGTGCAGTTGCTAAATCACTCATTGTGGTCAATACATATCCAACCCTCTTTTAAAATCATGTGGGTTTGCTCTGCTTGGAGGGAAAACCTCTGGTTGATCTTCATGAGGCACAGTTCATTGAATTTCTGGCGGCCCTTGGACAATTCCAAGCCTTCTGCCAACAAAGCCTGGCACTTAACTTCCAAAATTTGATATGGAAGATTACCATGCACATGTAGATTTTTCACCATTCAGCCTCTGTATATCCAACAAAACCATTTGACCCGCTCCGGGTAAACACTGTCCGACTCATGTTCAACTGCATCTGTTCAGAGTTCTTGAAGTCCTGACATGGTGGGTGTGCGTACGTACTCGAGTCATGGACATGGACCGTTTTGTTGCGTGATGCTTAGTTGGAGAATCCTTCTTGTAATGCGGAGGTCCGTACCATAGCTTCAGATACTTGTGCGCGTGGGACATGGAGTTGTGGTTGAGCTCAATCTTTTTTGCACCGTTCACGGCCCTCAGGCCTTTGACTTGGCCTATCATTAAGCTTGCCACTCCAGACCAAAGCAGTGAAATCACATCAGTTCCAGAATGCAGGACCCCAGCATGGCTGGATGCAGCCTGATTCTTCTTCCTTTGGGCTTTGAACAATAGTAGCTTGGAAACGGCTATCCCAAGTGGGGAAATGGGGGGGGGGGGCGCTTTTGCTCCAGCAATTGCGCTGGGGCTGGCTGTTGCGTAGTACCATTGTACTGCACTAGAATGACCGCCCTCGGTAGGGGGGACTGACATGGATTGAAGTCTGCGGAAAGTGTCGGAAGTCACACCGACAGCCGCTGGCAATAAATACCTCCCACAATAAGACAAACCAATATAATTGGGTGGGATAGGTAAGATTTGGGTCAGTGTGGAATTTCTCCACCGGGCTGCATTTCTTGGTTTATTGTACCCAGCCTTTTTGTCTTATAGTTTTTTTTCTCTATCTTAAAAGCAAAGTTTTCTCTTGAAAGTCCTTCCGGAACTCATCCTCTATAATATTTTTTTTCGCTATGGATAATCCCAGTTTCTCTGGACCTCTCTTCTCATATGTCACTGTGGTAAATGAATGGAACTTGACTGAATTGATAAAAAAAGTATGAACCAATTTCCAAACACAGTTTGACTGGAATTGAAAAGAAAGCATGAAGCATTTAAAAAGGGATTATGAAATTATCTTAGCAATATGGTGTATGATTTAAACAAGCAAGTTCTTCAGATGTGAATTATTAAACTGATTCCGGATTTACGGATCAAAGGATGTATTCATTTTTTTTTTTCTTTTTAGCTTTGGATTGCTGGGCTCGAAGTTGATCTTTCTTGACAGCCCAAATCTTCTCCACAGCTGTGCCCACATACTTTGGATAGATTGGCAACCAATAAGTTGAATCTTGATATTTCTTGGGCCAGAGATAATCAGATGTCAGCTCCATGGGTTTCCGCTCATGATTAGGAATTTCAAAAGCTTACATTTTTTCCTGTTTTCAAAAGCAGACCCTTGCGACTCCAGAGAAAGAGGAAGCACGGCTCCATAAGGCAAGTGAATATCTGCGTGGATTTTTTGTTGTTGGATTGAAGAAAAGTCGCCCAACACCATGCCAAAGCATCCTCAGGGGGCCATGAAATGAGTATCTGGACCCACCAGGGTATGCAACACCTAAAGCTGGGAGGATAAAGTCTCCTCCTTGATGATTTCCAAAGAAAAGCGCAGCATCAAACAAAAAGGCATTTTGTGGGTCTCTATGTGTTTGAACTAGATTATTGACACTGATGGTTCTTGCTGGATTTAGATCATGCAGTCAGACCAACAATTCTGAACATATTAAGTGTTGGTGACTCACATGCAATAATGGGATTCATTTCTTCCCCCAAATCCCTTTGGAGATGATCGCTTCCTTCTGTCATTGGATATTCAATGCCTTTTTCCGCTATGAAGCAAGCTTGGGGAAGAAAGCCTTTGTTAACACAGCGGGACAACAGAAAATAATAGGTTAAGTTGTTGCCCAAAAATATCCTGGCATTCAACTCAGAATGATTTTGGCTTTTGCGGAGGGGATCGGGAAGTAAGGGTGGTGGATTGTTTCTCCAGTTGGAGTTGAATCCTTGGATTTCTCCTTTGTTGATCTGCTGGGAAGTGTGTGGTATTTTCAGATCCAAGATGCCTTTAGACTCCACCTGATTGAGAAAAGGATTGTTGTGTCAATATGACACTTGAAGGTTGGATTCTGTACATGGGAAAAGATGGATTTCATGTAAGTTGGTGGCATGATATGACTCACACTACCAAGACCATATCCATAGGTCTGGAAAGATACCAAGGCAGCCTTGAATTGGTCTTTGGAGGCTGGAGGGGCTCTTCTGTTGCCCTTGTTTTCAAAGTCCAGTGGAAACATGCTGGTGGGTGGTGATAAAACTGGGGAATCAGTAATGATCATGGATTTGGTGCTGGTGGAAAGGCGGAATCCAGTTTCCAATTTCGTGAGGCCTTGAACCAACGCTGCCACAGATACAATACGCTGTGTGTATCATGGAGAATTCTGCAAAGCTGCATGGCCAAAAACCAAATTTGTTGAATCTCCTTGCAAATAAAAGCAGATTGGTCAGATAGTTTTTTTTATTGGGGCTCAGATACATAGTGATACATGGCAGATACCGTATCTGTGGCAGCGTTGCTTGAACTGCCAGGTCCTTAATATGTGTCAGAAGATGCGTTGGCTAATTTTAGTGGTCCACTTGCCCCCGATGATGGATGAACACTGTTTGGTTTCCTTTCAGCTGGAGGTACCCCAACACCACAGCACCTGCCAGACTCATCCAACAATACCACCATTCTACCTTTATCCAAAAGGGTACATTTTTGTTCAAGGTCCATGGGGAGCTGTAGAACGTTTGTAATATTGGGATATCTGAGGCAGAAGGGTTTTTTCAGCTGGTTCTCATCCTGATTTTTAGTGGCAAGGGCTAGGTAATTGCAAATGGTTTTGTCAACCTCTTTGGCAGCATCACAAACCTGATTTTGAAGCATTGTTTGGGGAGTATGTTTGGAAAAAACTCATAGGACCTCCTCCACTATCACTTGGATGCCCATCTCTTGGAACTCCTGCATCAGAAAAACAGCCAAGATGTCAAAATCAACAGACACCACCTGGGCAACTGCCCTCTACTTCATGAGCCTTTTGCACATCATTTCAAGGAGTGCATTGGTGTCATTGTATGAGGCGCCCCTTGTGCCCCCTTCCGCTGGCTTGGCAGGGCCATGTGCAATCCTAAGATTTCATCCAAATCAGATTCAGCTGCCTGGACATCACCAATCAGGTTGCAAGCAGGAGCCAACCTCCCCTACTATTCTGTCAGGGGATAATTGGCCCCACAATGGGAAAGGGAGCCGCTTTTCTGCCCACCCACACAATCCCACAGCACAAGCAACCAATCCTGGGACCCAGTGTAACTTAGGGCTAACGTATGGGGCACTCACTTTTGTTTCTTTCTGACCATGGCTGGGACTTGCATGCAAGTTTTAGGGGATGATGCGGCAGTGATGGTTGATCTGGAATCTATGGTAGGTGTATCAATTTGGTGGATAAGCAGGGGGGTACTTTTCAGGGGACAAACAGCAAATGGGGAATGAAAGGATAAATAGATCAGTTAGACGTTGAGAGTAGAGGAGGAGTCAGGGGGAAACCTGAAGGACAGACCTTGGAACAGCGGAATATTTCCCTTGGCTACAATGGGTCCAAACGATCGCAGTTGCTTTTTTTTCTCTTAGTGAGAAGCAAAGGATAAGGCTGAATGAAATATAATAATACCATTAGAAACTCATTCCGGTTGGGTTCAGTTCAACACAGGATGTTAAATGTGAAAACAGACCTGAAAGCAATTCAAGGGTTTGATAAATAACTGGTTGGACAAGGACAAGATCGTTTAATCCAGAAGTTTGATTATGTATGAAGGAATGGGTTGTGAGCAGAGCTCCTGATCCAGCGATGATAGTTTCTGTTTTCCGATTGAGGAGAGGCTTGAACGGTTTTAAGCTAGCCTGGAAAATATAATCGGAAGAATCCTGGAGTATTGGTACAGGGCTTACACGGATTGACAAACAAGGGCTTTGGCCGAACTTAAACAAAGAATAAATAGAATGAGAAGTTGTTGGCGAAGGAAGTTTGATTGCTGATTTGATGTTGGATAATAGCTGATATGATTGATGTCGGCTAAGGGCTGGACAGGCTGAGCGACAACAGGTCCTTTAAATAATCAACACGTTGGTGGCCTTCTTCTAAAGCAAGACGCAGGTTGAGATGTATAGCGATTCTTCCAACGTTGAAACACTGAACTGCTATGGATTTCTATGGTTGAGATTAAAATGGTTGGTTGCCGAGTCGTTGTTTCTGTGAGCCTGGGTCTCAAAAGTGACAGCAGGACACAAGGAATGGGGGCAATTCTAGATGTATTTCAAGGGGATAAGGAAATACAACTAAAATTAGAGAAAGAGAGAGAGAGAAAGAAAATACACATCATCCCTGACATGATTTCCCAGATGGGAAATCTTGTAAATTTCAGGGAAATCCTGTAAAAACAATTCAAGATTTTTCCAGATTTTTTAGATTTTTCAAATTTCTAAATTTTTCAGATTTTTCCAGATTTTTTTATTAAGGACATCTGTCAAGTTGAAAAAATCTGAAAAAAAATAAAAAATCTGGAAAAATCTACAAAATATGAAAAAATCCCAAAAATCTGGAAAAAATTCAAAAAATTAGAAAAATCTAAACAAATCTAGAAAAATCAAAAAAATCTGAAAAATCTGGAAATCTGGAAAAATCTAAAAAATTTAGAGAAATCTAAAAGGGCGTTAATAAAAACACGTGGTAAATCCGTGTTTACACATGGTTTTGCTGCGGCACAGCACACACAGATTCTGCATGTACATGCGGTTTTATTAATTATGCATAAAATATGCATAATTTTGCCTCAGGGGTCCCCCACGCGTACCACAAGTGCCTGCATGAACTTTGAAAATTTTCCTGCAGACACCAAACAAGAAAACCACTCACCACAATCAAAAAAGGACATCACCCCCCCCCCCTTTAAACCTTCAACACACCACAACTCAGTCAAAACCCAACCAAAATCAACAAAAAAATACCAGAATTATTCTTTTTTTCTCCTCTTTGATGCCCCAGACTCGGAATTTTTTTGATTCACCTCTGGTTCATTCCCAACTTGCAGGAACACTCTAAACTTCAAAAAATCACAACTTGGTCATTTCTCAACCAAAATTCACAAAAAAAACCAAAAGTATCCTTTTTTTATACTCTTCAGCGCCATGGTCTTCAATACTGCTGATCCATCTCTTGTTTTTTTTAAATTCATTGTTAGGCCTCAAACTTCAACTCTGAATAACTCAGGCATTTCTGAATCAATTTCTTCAAGCAAACCATCAATAATCTTATTTCTTGATCCTCTTCACCGCAACGGTCTCCGTTTTTGCCGCTGGACCTGTTTTTTTTTTTTTTAATTCATCGCTGGAACACTAGTAGGACTCAAACTTCAACTCTGAATAACTCAGTCAACTCTCAACCAATTTCTTCAAGAAAATCATCAATAATATTCTTTCTTGATCCTCTTGACCTCAACAGTCTCCGCTTTTGAAGCTGGACCTCTCTTTTTTTTAAAAAATCATTACTGGAACTCTAGTAGGTATTAAACTTCAACTTGGAATAACTCAGCCGTTTCTTGACCATTTTCTGCAATCAAAACACTAATTATCTTCTTTCTTGATTCTCTTCACCACCACTGTCTCTGTTTTTGCCAAGAGACCTCTTGTTTTTTTAAATCATCACTTGATTGCTAGTAGGAGTCAAACCCCATCTCTGAATAACTCAGCCGTTTCTTGACTGATTCCTTCAAGAAAACCTTCAACAATATTCTTTCTTGACCTTCTTGACATACACCATCTCTGATTTTGCCAACACACCTCTCGTCAATTTTTATTCATCACTCAATTGCTAGTAGGACTCAAACTTCCTCTTCAAATAACTCAGGCGTTTCTCAACCAATTTCTTCTAGAAAACCATCAAACAATTCTTTCTTGATTCTCTTCACCGCCACTGTCTCCGTTCTTCCCAACACACCCCTCATTTGTCTAATTCATCACTTAACTTCAACCAACACCTTGACAATATGTCTGAAAGTCAAAGCCACATCAACCCCCTCCTTTTTTGGCCGCAATATCTGAGGAGACATCCGAATCTCACATTAACCCCCTCCTCAGTACATATCAAGACCAAGTCAACCCACCTCTACAAACTGTGTCAACAACGGCTCCGTCAAACACTCCGTCATCCGCTCCTCATCACCTTGCGCCGCCTCCCGAGTCATCTTATGCAACTAGAACGGAACTACATGACACTGATCAAAGGTGAGCCTTGGAGCATGGGTATGCCATTGTCAAGGCAAATACTACAACTTCCAATGGGGAAGACCAAGCAACGTATAAATGCAACCTATCTGGGCAACCGGTGTGGAACTACTCTTGGGATGAATAGAGCTTGAGAGGGATGGATGCTTTAATAGACTGCCTCTCTGGTAACTACAATGATTAAGGTAACAATAAAAATAAAAGAGTATGGAATCATAAGGAAAGGTGTGGCTTTGGAGATTTCTTGAGGATGGTATGTCTAATTTTTCTTATGTTTACTAGTCTAAATATACTTGTTCACAAATCAAGGTATCCCAAATGTTGATGGGCATATACCTGGCTAATAGTGGGTGATCAGTTATCTGAATTGCTGGGGCAGGCTCTGATTGTGGGTGATCAGTTATCTGGCTTACTGGGGCAGGATCTGATGGGGAACAAATGAGGAGGAAAAACAAAGCTCCTTATATACAAGATTCTGGGGAGTGGCCAATTTGTGGTTGGCAGATGGATGGAACAAAATGAAACAAAGAATGAACAAGGAAGGAAACTGTAACTATGAACAATGTGGCCTAATTTAGTGTGGCACTAAGATAAGATAAGACTAGACTGAAACCAAAGAAAGGGCCAAGCTAAGATAAGGTAACAACCTGAAACAGAGAGAGGCTTGGAAAATATTATCAAGGGGAAGAGGTGGGGTAAGTATTTCACCCAGATAAGAATTGAACAGGCAATGGGGAGAAATTACCAAAAGAGGACTAGTATCAAACATAACTGTTGTGTGAGAATTCTTGGCATAACATGGAAGGAGATAAGAGATAAGGAATATTTTCAGAGGGGTTTGAGGTTATATTGAGAAGGGGTACTAGTGTGTAGTTAGTGTGTGAGCTAAGTCTTATCAAGAGTGAACTAGGAATTTGGCCATGGGTTTCATTTGAGGAGTTTCAGAGGTGTGGGAGATGTTATTATCCATGTGAGGGTTATTGGTGTGTTGTCTTTGTTTGAGGGCCTGGGGAAATAGTTGAGGGGTCTTGGGTCTGTGATTCTTGTGTGATATGTAGTCTTCCTGTGCCTTGAGGTTCAGGATTGGCTTACCTGAAAAAATATTGAATTGATGACTAGAAACCAAAACCAGACTAAAAACAAAAAAGATGAGAACACAAGAATGTAAGGAAAAAGAATAAGAAGAAAGAGAATCAAAAGAAAGAGCATACCACTAAGAAGATGGATATAGTGAAATAAAAAGTTGAGGACTTTGAGCAGAGTATGAAGTAAAATATTTGATATAATCAAACTAGGAAATTTAAGAGAAAGAAGATATAAATAAAGTAGAAAGATCAGCAATTTCATCAACAACCAACAGAAGAAGAAAGAGAGAGAGAGACTAGAGAAGAAGAGAATAACAAACAGCACGTTGAAGAGGACGTGGAACTAGAATTAAGAGGCCTTTAGGTGAAGTTCCTGAATGAGTTGAGGATCAATCTTGAGGCGAGACAAAGAGGAGACGGGAGTGAGCAAGAGCAAGAGCAGATCGAGCGCAGCGAGGGGAGAAGAACTTTACACTGTGAGGTCTTTGTGGATTGAGGTTAAGCTGGAAATTGCTGAAGGATCTTGGGCGCAGGTTATTGATTTTTGAGCAAGCTGAGAGTTCAAGGATCTTGTCGAGTCTGAGGTTTGAAGAGAAAAAACTGAGATGTCCTTTTAACTCAAAGGAAGTTCAACCCTAAGTGGTTGAACTTCGATTCTCATTACTTTGCTGCGGATCAAGAGCAGCGGCAATTGGTTGTGATTTGAGAGTGACATGTACAGTGAAATTTCAACATTACCACACCGGGTGAACCAGGCCCCAACAAATTGGGCAAATCAAAAAGGATCGGCTGTCCCTTTGAAATGTTGGGCAACTTCTACCAGAGGGAGGGACACTATAGAATCAAGATCAAGACTGCGCATCACAACCACCCAGCCTTGGTTGATCCATACATTTTTCCAATCCATAGACGATTGACTGAATCCCAAAAAGAAAGGGTCACAGAATTAACCCACACCAGTGTGGCCCCCCTGAAGATCAAGTCGGAATGACTTCAAGATGCACAAACCCCCTTGCACGCAACACTGAACACAATTTAAAATCACCGAGGCAAGATGCGCAATGAAGAGCTCGATGGACGCACACCGTTTGAAGCTCTCTTGCATCAAATCCACAAACACCAATTTTACTTCATGATGGACAGTGTTGAAGGTCACATGACCTCATTCTTTTTTGCTCACCCCTGTTTGCTCGAATTGGTCAAAAGACTTCTGAGAACCATCCTCCTTGATTGCACATATAAACCCAACAAGTACCGCATGCCCCTTCTGCATGTCCTTGGAATGAATTCCTGTAATATGTTGTTCACTGTTGCTATGTGTTTCCTCTCGGCCAAAAAGGAGGCAAATTATATGTGGGACGTGGAGCAGCTTCTTCTAGCAATGAACAATCAATCTCCCTCAGTCATTGTCACCAACCACAAACAAGCAGTCATCAATGCAATTAAGAAAGTATACCTCAACACCACCCGCATCCTCTGCTCTTGGCACATATTCAAGAAAATCAAAAAGAATTGCCGGAAGCATTTCAGCAGAAAAGAGAAACGGGAAACATTTGAATCAGCATGGAAGCAATTGAGGCTGTTTCCAACTTTGAAGGAGCACAAGGAGAATTACACCAAGCTCTCTAAATTGTGGAATCCAGACACGGCCGCCTACTTGATCACGGTAGTCCTTCCTCTGAAGGAGTACTTTGTTGCGTACTTGATCAATTGGCTCCCACACTTTGGAAATCACATCACCTCCAGAGTTGAAAGTCTGCACGTGTACATCAAAAAATTCATCAACACATCAACAGGCTCCTTTGCGGCAGTTGTCAAGCAAATTCACCGGGCCATTGACAGCCAGCTCCATGAAAGATACATTGAATCTGTGCAACATCATTACAGAAGACTGACCGGCCAGCTGCCTCCTTTGATTTCCAATCTTAACCGAATCATATCTCACTTTGCCTTGAAGATTTTTCATGTGTCTCACATGGCCAAGGCTCCAAAATCCACATGCACTGGTAACTACTCGGCTCACATGGGTATTCCATGCATCCATCAAGTCCACAACGCCAAAAGCGAGGGGAGCAAGTTCACTTCTGATGATTTCCATGCTCAGTGGCACGTCAAAACGGATTTAGACGTAAGTATCTCATATTTTTATCATCAAGAGGATCCAAACAAAATTTGCCCGAGGTTTCTGATTTATTTTGTTCATGATAATTTGACAGGTGGAACTCAGTGAAAACCAAGACACCACGGAGACACAGCAGAAGAACCATGAAGACGTATTCCTCAGTGAAGTATTTCAAAATTTCCAATCACTTCAACCTGGCAAACAAGCCCTCATGGTTGGCAAAATCCACAAACTCCTTGATGGAACACATGCTGCCACCATTGCACTCGATGAACCAAGGTTTGATAAGAACCATCAATTCAAGCGCCGAGCCAAAGGCTCCAAACGCAAACACAAATTGACGTCTTCAACCAAGAGGGACCCATCTGGATTTGAGTATGTTGAGGGGCAGAAGAAGAAACAAGGCAGGCCAAAGAAGGTGGCCAATTGGACAAGGGGCCAAGCG